TGATTGCGTCGAGGTGACCCAAGTGGTTGGCCTGGGCCCAGAAGCCCCCCTGCGTTGGCTGCTTGATTTGCTGGTCTGCTGGCAAGGGAGTTGGCTAGCTGGCTGGCGGGTTGGGTGTCTCGCTGGCTGGTCGGTTGAGGCCTGGATGCCCACATGGTTTTAGGCCTCCCAATAACCCCGGATGGCCAGAGATGATTACAAGGTTGTTTCAAGATGTAAACTCTTGGCCTGGCCCACGAAGGCACTTACATTGGCCGTTTGGTTGTCTGGTTGGCTCGTCGACCAATCGGCGGTTGTCTCGTTGGCTGGCTCGATGGCTTGCTGTCTGGTTGATCCGGTTCCGTCTGGCCCAGCTGGTTCCAAATCTTCCATTGTAGGAGCAGGTGGAGACAGAGGAGGGGAGCGGAGGAGGGAGGAGGGAGGAGGATGTGGCGGGAAGAAGGGAGGAGGGAGGGAGGGAGGGAGGAGGAGGAGGAAGATGGGGAGGGCGGAGGAGGAGGAGGAGGAGAAAGGAAGGAGGAGGAGGGATGGAGGGAGGTTGACATAGGCCGAAATAGACACGGAGCGATCGCGTCCAGCGAATTTTTTAGGCTTGGGTCGAAGCGAGGGGGAGCCCCGAGTTCCCGTGGGCTTGCCAGAGGCTGGCCGCCTTACTGCGGTCCGAGAGAGAGAGAGAGAGACAGAGAGAGAGAGAAGCCGTGCACATCTAAGGTGCACTGGCAGGAAGGTGAAACAATGAGGAGCCGTTCGAGACACGAGAACATACCATCAGCAAGGCATGTCGAACAAATCCCGTCAAGAACCCCTTCCGGTCCGAACGGCACCAAAACACCGCCTCCCCCGGATCCCTGAAACCATTCAAAGCAGCGACCTTGTACATATCCAGAGGGTCGGTAACTTCTGGCATATAAGACTTCCCCCCTCGGTGGCCTCGGAGCCCAAACCCTAGTACACTCGCAACCTCACAAGCGACAAAGTTCGGACTTCCAACTATGGAGTGATGACCGACTCGAGTTTGGGGTTGGGGATTGCGTTGAATCGGCATGTAGGCCTCTCCGAAGCCTGCTCCGCCGAGTGGCCAGCCCAGGGTGGGCATCACCCTTGCAAGCCGCAGCACGGCCTGACCCAGGCCTGAAGCTTTGGCTGCACACTGGCGCCACATCTCGTGCAACACAGAGCTGCCGGTTCCAGATCCTGCCCATGCGCTGCAGTTTGCACGATATCATGCCCTTGAAGCAGCCACGGCTGGAGACGGCCAACGCTCTCAGCGGCAGAGCTTGACTCCGCCGCGGGAGCCGCGTCCAACCCTCCTTCAGGGTACAGCTCGGGCGGAAGGGCAATACAAGATTTGAGAGCAGCTCTACGTTCGCAGTGCTTCACCCATTCACGCGCTTCCTCGGGCTCGACTGTACACCTCCTTTAGCACCCCCCACCGTTCCCTCTACGCGATGCTGCCCTCCACTTGGCCGCGCCCCGCTGGGCTCCTCCCAGCTCGTGCCGCACCCCTGGTGGATGGACTGAGCAGGGCCTGGAGACCTCATGTTGCAAGGCCTCTTTCAGAGCGGCTCGGTCAAATTCAGCATGGAGCGCGGCCAGTGACCCTCGTCCGCACCAGAAGCCAAAAATACGTGCGACTCAGATTTGTGGTCGCCATCGTGAAGAACGGCTGCGTGGCGCCGTGCTTGATGGCGACGTGCGGGCGTCGCGCTTGATGGCAGCCCGTGGCGACGGTGCCTGGCGATGCCTGCCCGAATAGTCTCGTACCGTCAGGTGATTTGCGTCTACAGAACATTGTGTCCACGAAGTACCGTCGGGCTTGATTGGAGAGGACACGCGAGAGGACACAAGACCCTTCTGAGGGCCACGTGGCCATAGGAGTGCAAAAGGCATGGGTCGAGAAGCACAGGACACAAAGGGTACCCCAGGAGAGCCCAGAATCGAATCGTTAGGTAGGATCGGCGATCGACATGAATCGGATCCGCGGATATCGGCAGCCGGGTCGGAAAAGACGAATCGGCGGAAATCGGCAGACAAGTGTGCGTCCAATAAGAAATCGGAACCCAAATCGGAATCCCAAGTCAAATCGAATCGGAATCGGGAGCTATCGAAATCGAATCGGATCGAATCAGAGGAGTCGAAATGAGCCCTGGTACCCTGGATTTGGCAGGGCCGACCTACTTGTCAAGCCCGACTGGAATGAGCATACGCCCGGCGCATGGAGAATATTTCCTCCACAACTGGCCAGGACACTCGCATGCAGATTTTTGCGTTGCAAGCGCAAGTGCCTTCTGGCACCGCATCGCACATGACTGCTCAAGCGAGGCTCCAGCACAGCACAAACAGAACACAGTTGAGTGGCAGACTACTGGGGCGTTGCCCTCAATCCTTAATATTGCACTCAAGCGGCAGCCCACGGCGAAGGTACATGGCGAATCTTGCCAGATGTTTTTCGGCTCGGCAGGTGACGTGCGTCTACATAATATTGCGTCCACAAAATATTGAGTATATTCTCGGCGCATGGCGAATACCGCGTCCACATTTTATGATTAGGACACTTGCATCCGACTTGTACCGTGGAGAGCACAAGCGCGATCGAGCATCGCATCGCACATGGCTGCTCGAGCGAAGTCCAATCCAACACACGAACAGGGAATAGATGGCTGGCTGCTGGAGCGCTACTATGAATCCTTAGCCTTGAACCGAAATGGCGGCGGACGTCTCTGCGGACTTCTCCTTCTTCTCCTCCTGCTCCTCCTCGTAAAACCTGGTTGGCCAAGCGCACTTCGAAGGTAGATAAGCTGATCAAAGCCCGCACAACAATACCTCACAAGACTTCAAGATAATCACGAGAAGTGCTCCAAAACGACTCCCACAGAGCTTGCGCTACGTTTGAACTAGCTGCGCCAACGGCTCAATTTGAAACTGGATTCGTCTCTTGGGCTTGCAAGCTGTCCTTGGACCGTCGTGATATCGTCTCGGATGCCCCTTGGGCTGCTTTTGGAGCACATTGAAGTGTCTACGTGCGCCACTGAGACGTCTTAAGAATATAACGGGCCTCGGTGTGCTCGCACAAGATGATTCCATCGTTAAACCCTCTGTACCTAAAACAATGACAAACAAGCAGCGCAACTTTTGGAAATACACTAGGGACTGCATGGGGCCACGTTGGGCTCGGGACCCTGGTTTCAGGGCAGATTCGGAACTCCTTGGCGCCTCTTGGGCCTTTTTGGAAGGCTCTGGGGATCCAGGGCGAGAGCCGAAAAGCCGAGGGAGGGACGTGAGACTCCACGGAGCGTCAGTCTTTCGTCTATAACTTTCTTCCCTGCGCCCACGCGAGATAGACGTGAACACATAGGCTGCGTAGGAGCGCGCGCTCGCAACCAAGACATAAGCATACAGACACACACATACAGACACACACACACATATATATATATATATATACATAGACATGCATATACATGTACATGTACATATACCCATACAAATACCAATACATGTACACAGACATGTACATCTACATATACATATACATATACTTACACAGATGCTTGTACATATACATCTACGTATGCATGTGCATACACGTAATTATACATATACAAATGTAGATGTACACACGTACCTATATATATGTATATATATATATATATATATATATATATATATATATATATATGCGTGTGTGTATGACACCATGTGTGACATACACATGTGGTCTTCGTCTTCATGTGCAAACGTCAACGGGAATCCACGATGCAAGGGTGCACCCGCGCAGCGGAACACGAGGCTCGGAAGTCTCCCGGCCCTCCGAGGAGTTCTCGGAGCCTCCCCCGAGGACGCGGAGAAAACTCCTCGGCAGAGGGCGCGAGGACTTCTGAAGGGGCCCCAGGACACACAAATAAATACACACAAATAAAAGGATTCCCCATATTTTCCTATATGTTCGGGGTTTCTGTCTTCCCCCCCACTGCCCATATTTTTCCATATTTTCTGGGGAATCGACGATTAATTGTGTCTGTGTGTTTTTTCTCCTCCTGATACTTGCCTTGACTCCGTAGTCGCATGGGCAGGCCAGGTGTGCCTGGGCTTCGCCAGGGCCCAGCCGGTGGCCGCCCGCGGGCGCGTCGCGGCAGCCCCGTGCGCTGGACTGCAGCACCGCTCGCGCCGCAGGGCCTGCACCGCACAGGCTGCGCCCTTGATGAGGCCCTGGGACACACAGAAATAAATACACACAAATAGCAGGATTCCCCCATCGTTTTCCATATTTTCTAGGTTTTCGTCTTCCACCCCACTTCCCATATTTTCCCATATTTTCCTGGGAATCGACGATTAATTGTATCTGTGTTTTTTCCTCCTGATTCTGGGAAGCACCACCCGCCTTCTCAGAACGCCTTCTCCTCCCCCCTTCCCCCCCTCGCCCGCCGCCGAGAAACATTGGCGGCGCGCACAAGGGGGTTGGGAGGAGGGGGGAAGGCCTCTTAGAAGCACCCTGCTTCTCAGGATGCGCTGGCCTTGAACCTACAGATGAGGCCCGCGCCCTCCAAGAAGCAGGGGTGCGTCTAAGAAGCCCTCCCCCCTCCCCTTCCCCCCTCGCCCGCCGCCGAGATTTATAGGGGAACAAGAAGTGGCGTGAACATAAAAACTCTGAGGTCCGCGCGGGTTTCTCGGATCGGTGCTGGACCCCCCCTGGCGCGCGGAGCGCGCCCCGCGCTCCAGGGAGGGGGGTCCAGCGAAGATCCGAGAAACCCGCGCGGACCTCCGAGCTTGCATGTTTATGCCACTTCTTGTTCCCCTAGCTTACTCTGGACCAGGATAGTAAGGATGCGCGGTAAGGATGCAAGGGCCTTTGGAACGCCATGTTGACGTTTTCCGTGCGGAGCGCAGCAGGATGCCGAAGGATGCCGAATACCGACGGGGTAAGGATGCAGGGGTAGCCTTGGAAAGTTGCCCCATACTTACTGTCATGGTTGACTGTACCCGCCCCGCCGCCGCCGGGCCTCGGGACGCATTGTGCGAGTCGATGATGGCAGCGAGGGCGTCGGCGGTGGCGTTCATCGCGCCAGGGGGCGGCACCGGGGCCCCGCGCTCTTCGGGCGAGCCCGCTGCCGCCGGCGGAGGGCGGGGAGCCTGGGGGGGCAGGAGGAGGAGGAGGAGGAGGAGGCGGAGGAGGAGGAGGAGGAGGAGGAGGAGACTCCTCCCACCCTCCAGGCCCTTCCTCGTCTCCCTTTCCCTCGCCCTCCCTCGTCCCCTTCCCCCCCATCCCTTGCCCCCCCCGCCGCTGACCCTCCTTCTCCCTCCCTCGCCATGCCTCCCTGCGCCTCCCCCCTTCCCTGAGCAGCGTGTGTCCTACGCAAGGGGTTCCTACTTTTACCAGCCTGGAACATATCCCTATCCCTATGCTGGGCATCTCCTCATCACGATGCCAATCCTAGGGATTCCCTTATTTTCTGAGGGCGCATCCCTAAGATTGTCATCGCTTTTTGGCGTGTCAATCTTAGGGATAGGGATAAGTTCGAGGCTGGTAATACTTGTCTTAACTCCGTAGCCGCATGGGCAGGCCAGGTGTGCCCGGGCTTCGCCAGGGCCCGGCCGGTGGCCGCCCGCGGGCGCGTCGCGGCAGCCCCGTGCGCTGGACAGCAGCACCGCTCGCGCCGCAGGGCCTGCACCGCAGAGACTGCACCATTGATGGGGCCCTGGGACACACAAACAAATACACGCAAACAGCAGGATTCCCCCATCGTTTCCCAGATTTCCTGGGTTGTCGTTTTCCCCCCCACTTCCCATATTTGCCCATGTTTTCCTGGGGATCGGCGATTCATTATGTCTGTGTGTTGTTTTCCCTCCTGAGCCATGCAGTCTGCGCGGCATAACTTGCACCACAGAATTTGCACCACTCAGCTGGCACCTCGTACGTTGCACCATACACTGAATGTGCATCCCAAAGTTTGCAACGCACAGCTTGCACCAAATCTATTGCATCACATGCAGTGTACCACATATCTTGCTCCGCGTTACGCAGCTTACACCACATATTGTAACACATGGACTGGACCACGTACGCTGGCACCATGAATATATTCCCCGCTCAACGAATTTCGCCAGCCCAACGGGTTAGAGGCGCGCTAAGATCTCCGGTACTGGTAAACAGTACTTCTAACTCGCGCGCGCGAAGCGGCCCCCGGGGGGTCCCCAGACGAAAAGCACCGCGGGAGAAGCCCAGGCAGTCCGGGTCAGAGATGGCTTTTCTGCCGGGTGCGGCCTCTCAGGCGCCCCAGAGCGCTCCAAGAGGACCCCAAGAGGCCCCCAAGACGGTCCAAGAGGGCTCCGAGTCGCCGACCGATCCGTCCGAAGCGCCCGAAATTGCCTCTAGACGGCCGAAGACGCCTCCAAGTCGCCCCAAGAGGCCTCCGAGAGACGTTCCCAGAGAGACCCTAGAGGCAAAAGTTCTCGATAGGGGCCCTCTTGGACCTCCCGTAGGGTCCTCTCTTGGACCGTCTTGGGCCCCCGTGGGACCGTCGTTGGGCCCTCTGGGCCCGTCTTGGGGCCCTGTTGGGTCGTCTTAAATCCTCCTTCGGCCCTTTCGAGGCTGTGAAATTCCTAGGAAACGCACATGCTAAAACAGTACAGTTTCCAAAGAGCCCTCTTGGGAGGGCTATTTGGAGGCCCTTGGAGCCCTCTTGGGAGGCCTCTTGGGAGGCCCTCTTGGGAGCCTTCTCAGGGGGCCTCTTGAGAGGCCTCTCGCGATTTTAGTTTCCTGGAGCCCTCTTGGGAGGCCTCGTTGAGCCTTCTTGCGGCGTCTTGGGGGCCTCGTGGCCCTTGTCTTGTTGACGCCACCTTGGGCGTCTTGGAACGCTGTCGGGACAATTTGGGCGGGGCGGTCTTGAGCCGGTCCTTTCGGCCTCTGGAACCGTCCAGGAGCCCTCGAGGCCCCGCCCTGGAGCTGGGGCGCCCATACGAATCTGAGGCCGTAGTGTGGCCGCCCCAGGCCTGAACCGATACATATATATATATATAAATAATAATCATAACAATAATAATAGTAATATTCATAAAAATAATAAGCACCTATACATGTCAGTGTGTGTACGTAGGTATGTATGCCTGTACGTATGTATGTATGTATGTATGGATGGATGGATGGATGAATGGATGTATGTATGTATGCATGCATGCATGTATGTATGTATGTATGTGTGCATGTATATGTGTATGCATGCATGCACGTATGTAGAGTGTGTATGTAGGTAGGTAGGTATGTACGTACGTACGTATGCATATGTGTATGTATGTGTGTATGTGTGCATGTATGTGTGCACCTATGTCTGTATGCATGTGTATATATATGTATATCGAGAGCTATGTGTATATGTATGTGTGTGAGTCTGTATATAGAATGCAGGTTTATACCTACAAATAACGAGATATATGCATATGGATACACACATTAAACGGACATGCGTTCATACATACATATAAATGGACCGACATATAGATGGGTGCATGTGCTGTTATGTCTATATATGCCTGTATATGCATACGCATAGATATGAACATATATATATATATGTACATGCATACAGCTGTAGACACATACGTACACATAAACACATGTATTAATATAACGGTAGATACCTATACGACCACCCTGCGGGTGATGAGGAGGTGAGGGGGGAGGGGGAACCAACGTCTCACTCAATCGATCTCGCTATCGATCTCACATTCGGTCTCACATTCGGTCTCACTATCGGTCTCACATTCGGTCTCACTATCGGTCTCACATTCGGTCGGTCTCACTACCGATATCACAATCGATCTCGCAATCGACGTCATCATCATCATCATCATCATCATCATCATCATCATTATCAACATTATCAACATCAACATCATCAACATCATCATCATCATCATCATCATCATCATCATCATCATCGCCATCATCATCATCATTACCATCATCATCATCATCATCACCATCATCATCATCATAATCATCATCATCATCATCATCATCATCATCATCATCATCATCATCATCATCATCATCATCATCATCATCATCATCATCATCATCATCATCATCATCATCATCATCATCAACATCATGATCGGGACACCGACGGGACACCGACGGGACACCGGCGGGACACCGGCGGGACACCGCGCGCCACCGGCCGCCCGGTGGAGAATCATTTGGTCCGGCCGCGCCTCAGCCACAGAGGACACCACCGGGACACCGGCGGGACACCGCGCGCCACTGGCCGCCCGGTGGAGAATCATTTGGTCCGGCCGCGCCTCAGCCACAGGAGACTTCCCTCTCGCCCGCCCACGCAGCTTCGCCTCGCCCGCACGCACGGCACGCACGAACACGAAACCGAAATCGATTTCCCGGTAGGGGGGCTCTCCGTTCCACTTCGATCTCACCCCCTCACCTCCGATGGATATATAGGTATGACGATTTAATGCTACCTATATATAATATATACAAATCGATATGTGTAAATAGATCTACGGAGATATATAAATACATCTATACGAGTATATCTAGATGTGCGAAGAGTGTGATGCTATATTGATGTGTTGATTGATTGATTGATTGATCGATTAATCGCTGTAGATGTATAGCGATAGAGAGATGGCAGATTGAGAACTATATAGATTTCACATAAAATTGGCCGAACGGTCATTGACTGTCCCAAGGCGAGTGGCTGAAGTGAGGTTCCGCGGTGCGGATTGCTGTTGAATTGAATGTTGGATGTTTTTTGTTGTTTGCTTATTGTCGTCGTCCCACCCGCGACACAACCGCGACCCACCCGCGACAGACCCGCGATCCACCCCGCGACCCACCCGCGACCCACCAGCGACCCACCCCGCGACACGCCCGCATCCATCCCACGATCCACCCGCGACCCACTCGCGACCCACCCGCGACCCACCCCGCGACCCACCCGCGACCCACCCGCGACTCACCCGCGACCCACCCGCGGTCCACCCCTCGACCCACCTGCGATCCACCCCTCGACCCACCCGCAACCCACCCGCGACGCACCCGCGACCCACCCGCAACCCACGTGCGACCCGCCCGCGACCCACCAGCGACCCGGCCCGCGACCCACCCGCGAACCACTTACGTTGCTTTAACGAAAAAGTCGGCGCCTGCGGCGGGCTTGTTGTACAATGTGCAAAAATGAAGCGTCTGTGGCGGGCTTCACAGACGCATCTATTCATGCCTATACCTATGGCACACTGGCGCGCCAGCTCGAGCGCATGTCGGACTTGCTGCGAGCGCGCAGCGCAACGCTCTGAACAAGAGAGCAATCAGAAGACGATGAGCACCCCGTGCGCGCGGAGCCCTGCAGAAAGCGCAGTGGAGGAGGGAATCGAGCGGTGCACAATTTGCCAATTGCTCAGCGATTGCCGGGGGGTTGGCCGTCGGGGTCCTGAAATGCTGTTCCCCACCGCGGCAGAAGGGTCGAGGAAACGCAAGACTCCAGCATGCTGGAACTCGGGTTTGACGAGGCTTTTTGACGAGCGCGTCCTGGGTTGTGACGGTCCAGTGTTTGCGGAATGTCTGCAGCGGGAGCTCGCGTCAAATTTCAGACTGGGTCTCGTCATTTTCATGATAGCCCCGTCAGGCCAATCCGAGTCCCTCGAACCCGCTCTTACGTCTCCCCGACAGGGCAGCGAGGCCAGCCGCGTCGCGCGCAGCGCGCAGGGTCGCGAAGCGGAGCGGGGGGCGGGCGTCCTTCACAAAATCGACCTTCCTCTCCACCCTGGTCTTCTCCAGTCTCTTTTCTATCTCCTGGCCCGCCCGCGGCGTCGCTCTGCCTCCTCCTCCTCTTCATCTTCATCCTCGTCCTCCTCCTCCTCCTCCTCCTCCTCCTCCTCCTCCTCCTCCTCCCCCTCCTCCTCATCCTGCTCCCTTCCTCCTCCTCCCCTCCTCCTCCTCCTCCTCCTCCCCTCCTCCTCCTCCTCCTCCTCCTCCTCCTCCTCCAACATTTGTCCACAGGATCTGGGTCTGCTCGCGTGCTGCTGCCGGAGCGTGCTGCCATCGCCCCCCAGACTTTCCTGGACAGCAGTACGAGGAGCGTGGACGCTGGCGGTGGGACTCCCCCCTTTGAGCTTGC